TTAAATTTTGTTTGTAATTTTTCAATCAAATTTTTATAAAATATGCAAGAAAATTTGTCTATATAAGAGTAAATACAACTTTGCTTGAAAAATTGTGGATATATATTATTATAACGGTATGCAAAAAGTCATAGTAAGCAAAAAGTGAAAAATAAAATAGTGCGTGCAACGAAAACTGGGTATTTGTTGAAAAAACTTTTTTTTAACTTTATTTCTTTCTCAGTTATTTTTTTTAAGTAAGAAAATTCAGGAAATGTAAAAAAGATCACTGAAGTGGATGCATATATTCTTTTGGAGCTTTTACCTTGTTGATGAATACCAAATTATATATATACTTTTTTTTGTAGACGAAATCTCTCATCACGACTTCATGCTTTCCGAAAGAGTGGAAATGTGCCTCTGTACGACCGGTGGCGAATAATCCTTCTGCACATACTCCAAGTGACTTCCGGCCTATTAGCATTTTGCCCTCGCTCTCAAAGGTTTTTGAAGCTTTGTTAGCAGAACAAATAAATGATCACGTCATTAAACACAACCTAATCTCCCCTCTGCAATCTGGATTTAGAGCAAGGTATAGCTGCTCAACAGCAATGCTAAAAATAATTGACGATATACGAATACCATTTGACCAAAATCAATTATCATTACTTTGCCTACTTGACTTCTCGAAGGCGTTTGATTCTGTGAGCCATGATATACTGTGTACTAAGCTTAAAGAGTACTTCGGATTCGGGAAAAACTCCCTGAGGCTTATTGAGACCTACCTAACTGGTAGATCTCAGCGTGTTAAAGTCGGTGAAAATATCTCAAGACTTGAGACGATTTCCTCAGGTGTTCTACAAGGTTCAGTCTTAGGACCTTTTTTATTCAGTTTGTTCGTAAACGATATTTTCCTCACATGCCAATTTGTAAGTGTTCATGCCTATGCGGATGATATACAGTTATATTTATCGAGTAATTTTGAAAATGTAGGCATGTTAGTTCAAAAGTATAATCGTGACTTGTCTTCTATTGAGCGGCGGTCGAAGAATAATGGTCTTCTCCTGAACTCTAAAAAATCGTATATATTACCAATCGCAAAGCGGAAACTTAGTGACACTACTATACCCCATTTAGTTGTCGGTAATAAACCACTGCAATTTGTAAGCAAAATTACTAATTTGGGCTTTGTCATTAACTCAAGTTTGACCTGCACGGATCATGTAAACTCGGTAGTTGGTAAAGTTTATGGGATACTTCGAAATCTGCGCCAGAGTGCGGTTTTTACACCTATGGTTACGAGGCGGCGGACCTCAATGCAGTTGATAGTACCCATAATGACATATTCTGAGCTGGTCTATAATAATCTAGACTCTCTCTCGGCTCATAAGTTCGATGTACTATTCAATAATGTCACACGATACGTCTACGGCTTGAAGAAATTTGATCACATATCGGAGTGGAAAACAAGTTTGTTAGGGTGTGAAATTCACGATTTCCAAATAGCCAGGAGCTGCATTTTTCTGTACCGGCTAATGAACGCCAAGACGCCTTCTTATCTTTACGACAAACTGATATTTCCAAAGTCCGGGCGCACAAGAGACCTCATTGTACCTACTTTTAACTTTGCAACATCGACTAGACTGTTTTTCATCAACACGATTAGAAGTTGGAACTCCATTCCAACTGCAGTAAGAGGAAAATTAAATAAAAGCAACTACAAAGCTATCTTATACTCTCATTTTTCTAGAGATTTAAACAGGCCAACAAAATTAGACTAATTTAGTTTAATTTAATTTAATTTAGCTTTAATTTAGTTTAAGATTATAATTAAGTTCAATTGTAATTACATTTCGTTTTAATTTTTAACATTTGATTGTTGGTATTGCTCTGTTGTCGCATATTCAGTGTAAGTTCTATCTATTGTCTCATATTCAGTGTTAGTTCTATCTGGCGTCTCATACTCAATGTAAGCTTTATTGTATTTTGTACCTATATTTGTTGTACTAAAAAAGAAGGCAATTCTTACTGTACTAATATCACCATTTTGATAATAAATGAAATGAAATGAAATGAAATGAAATCTTTCTTATATCGCAAAATACAGAGCACTTAAGATACTCATTCTCTCACTTATAGAATCCACAAAAAAATTCAGCACCTAGCTGCGACACCCATACATTTATTTTCTATTTTCAACATGACTAACAAAATTTCAAGACGGGAAATTTTTATATTTTGACTGTCGACTCCTAACAATTAAAAACTTGATGGAATAATAGATTTTGTTTCTGGTAATATTATTAACTTGAAAATTGAAATCATATGCGCGAAGCCTAATTCAGAAATTGGGCAAAAATTTTCCGAAAAAGATAGCGGTTTCTTGCAGCAACTAAAGATTGGCTCGAATTTCAAATAGACTTGCCACAATTTGTGTGTTCTAAAAGTCAATTTCAATTAAATATTTAAACGGCACTTAAGTTTAATTTTGGATCGCCATTTATATAAATGTCATTTAGCTTTCGTTGTGTTCCAGATCAATATACTATTTAAATATGCCAAACAAGTGCCAACACTGTTGCTTGTTCCTTGAAATTGTTGTTGCTTGGTATCACCGCTTAAAACTTGGAGCTGTTTTACTAGAATTTCATAACCGATTTACCTGCATACACATAATTTTTCTTAAAATTCAGACTAAAAAGCTCACAATTATATTCAAAAATTTTTTTTAATGAAAAAATGTGATGGAAAACAACAATAATTTACAAGTAAGAAGTTATAACTGATATTTCGGAGATCACCACATCTCCTCATCAGACTTCTTCATCCAGTTCACAGGGATTTGGCATAACAAAAACTTTTAATTTGAAAAAAATTACAAATATTTAACAAAAATAACCATGCACTCACTTTTGATCGCCAGTGTACCTCATATTATCTTACTGAATTTAATATAATTTAATTAACATCCCAGTCGGAAACAAGTGACTTTTTTTAAAATCAAACTAATTGAAAAACTACTTTGAATCAAGTGAAGTGAGTAAATGTTTCGAATTTTGATACCATTTTTACCAAAAGAAACAATATGTGTCTTGGATGTATGAAAAAGCATCTGTGAAGTGCAGACCTAAAGCGTATTTAAATGAAACATAGTGACTTTAAAGTGTTTTAATCCAGATGCATTTTAAAGTAGTTGGAATGAAATGCAGAGTCGGACAATCGGCTTGCTGCTTGAACACAATTCAAACTGAACATTTGAAAGCACACTTACATGTCTGGCTGTGGCTGAGCGTGCAGAGGTGCTTGCTGTTATTTGTTAGCTTCCAGAAGGTGCGGGTTCAAATCCCATCAGAGGCAAAATGTTGAAATGAATTTTTTTTTTTTTGGCTTCGAAATATGAAAAAGCATTTGTGAAGTGCAGAACGAATGCGTATTCAAACGAAAAATACTGACATTGAAGTTCTTTAAACCAAATGCATTTTAAACTAGTTGAAATAAAATGCAGAGTCGGATAATTGACCTGCTCCTAGGACATGGCCATGTTAATAAAGTTAGTTGCTTATATGAAAAAAGGAAGAACTCCAACCACTTATAGTTGGTAAAAAAGTACTTTTTAAATTGCTTTTAAAGTAGTTTTATTTCCTACAGGGATGTAACAAATATGAATTTGCATTACAACACTGTAGGAAATAACTTAAGTGGACGATCGCCTGCCGCTCTTAACATTCATCGAACTCAGAAACCGGGGATTTAATTCATTTGGGTGCAGACATGCATACCTACATATATTAGACGGAATTACTAAATGTGAATGAAAAAGGAAGGCGCAACATTTCTGGGCAAATACGATCCCGAAAATATCAACAAGGAGACTCAAAGTACTCTTTCACCTAGCAAAGCATGACGTAAGAATTGTTACAAGCTTACTGCTTACTGCTGGGTAATGAAGCAAGTTCCAAAGCTTGAGCAAACATGCTCCGATCGGTGCAGGTTGTATCATGAGGAACAAGAAAGAGCAGAGCACTTATGTACCTCTGTGCAGCCATAAGTAGGCTCAGTCTTCTCTTCCTGAGAACCTGCGAGTTTCCTTAACGTTGATACGTTAATCAAAGAAAATATATAGCCAAATATAAGCTTGTTACAATAGATCGGACGCACCCTCTATTTAACTACTACTTTCTTGAGAATATCGATTGCCTTGCTGTATTCTTTCATATGTATTTCACTGAAAAAATTAATTATATTTATTTTTAAACCATTTTGGAATAATGGGAAATACATATATTTACCAAAAAGTTATTCCGCTCATAAGGAAATCGTGTGAAAAATAGTTTATAACAGTTTTAACAGTTTAGGAAAGAAACATGTACGTTTACCCAAAGTTAAAAAAATCCAAGCAGTAGAAACAAACATTTTTTTGGAGAACAATTTGTTTACATACAGTAGTTTTTTTAATCAAGTAATTTTAGAGGAAACATTTTTTTTTTTTGTAAGATTTTTTGAGAAAAAAATAGTTTAGTTAGGAAATAATGTCTATCAAAATTAAAAAAAATTTGCTCTGATGTATTAAATTGTTCAAAAAAATATTTCTTTGTGGAAAAACAATATTTGAAAAAAATTGGGGAAAAGCGCATATAGAAAAAGGAATTTAAAAAAATAGAAAATAGTTGAGTTAAAATTTAGTTTTTTAGAATTCTATTATTATTTTTTTTCTTTTGAATATGCCCCCGATGAATGGCATTTACCCATTCAAATCATGGGTCTTTTTAAATATAGGCTTATAGTCCTGAGAGCATTAATTTCTAATCCAAACCATACTACAAAAAATCTTGTTTATTGCTCAAAAGTCATATCAAGAAAGTGTACTTCTAATTTTTTTTTTACCATTTTGGGATGTCTCCCTTTAAGTTCGAGTGGGATAATTATTTTCATTTAATACTTCTGGGCAGGTATATTACATACATACATACATACATACATACTTACATACATACATACGTTCCTCAATTCAATGCCAAAAATATTATGAGGTAGTTATCAAAAAAATAACATATTTTATTTCATTATTAGTCGCTATAAGCAGGTGTCCACTTTTGCATACATGAGTATGTATTTATCTTAAATTTTAATACAATTTAACAGTTTCAACTTAATTGCACACAATTTCTTGGCAAAAAAATCACAGCAAAGGAAAATGCTCATCACACTTGTCTTAAGCCTAATATCCGTGCTTCTTATAGCCACCACCATAGCTGCTGCCGTAACCACCACCACTGTGTCCACCACCGCCGCCGCCACCAGGACCAAAGCCGCCACTACCACCACCGGGTCCAAAGCCGCCACCTCCACCGTTTCCACCACCGCCGCCGCCGCCAGAACCAAAGCCGCCACTACCACCACCGGGTCCAAAGCCCCCACCTCCACTATTTCCACCACCGCTGCCGCCGCCAGGACCAAAGCCGCCACTACCACCACCGGGTCCAAAGCCGCCACCTCCGCCTTTTCCACCACCGCCGCCGCCTCCGGGACCAAAGCCGCCACCACCACCACCACCGGGTCCAAAGCCGCCACCTCCACCGTTTCCACCACCGCCGCCGCCGCCAGAACCAAAGCCGCCACTACCACCACCGGGTCCAAAGCCGCCACCTCCACTATTTCCACCACCGCTGCCGCCACCAGGACCGAAGCCACCACTACCACCTCCATATTTTGAGCCGCCGCCGCCGCCGCCGTAGGCACTAACAGCGCCCAGCACTGCTAGTGTAACAAAAATTACCTGCAAACACGAAAGAGTATAAATTTTTAGCTTAATTCCCTAAATTTTTTTTTTATTTACCGTAAATTTATTCATCTTCGTCAGGTTTGCTCGTACCTCTCAGAATATTCACAGCAAACTGATTGATTGATTTGAAAGTGGCTGGGCTTTTATTGATTGGAAAATGTCGATGTAAGCGAATTTGTGGCGATCACAAAAACTGGTCGTAATCTTAAAATGCATCTTTACTATTTTTTTGTTTATACTCATATATACGTACGTATTTATTTTTTTCCGTTCCTTTTATTGATTGAAATGTTTCAGCAACGTTGGCTTATTGACTTGTGATGTAATTTAATCATTCAATCATCAGTTATGTTTAACTTAGAGTTGTTTTTCTCTTTTTTTTTAGGATGTTTCGAAACTGGACCAATTTAGTATTCTTTTATAATAATATGCATCATTCTGATAACCCGGTGTGTAGCTATCCTAACTTTTTTCGAGAGAAAATTCATTAAAAAACAAATTTCTTAAGCTCAAGATTCCACATATGCAGGAGGTCTCACGGTAATGAGTTATGAATGTGTACGTACATAGATACACTTGAAATGCTCTGCAGCTAAGAATACTCTAAGATTTGGCCGTCTAAGGGACTGCGGTAGACAGGAAATGGATATGCTTATAGTCAGTATCATAGACAGAGGTTGTGTGTGAGATCGATTTCGGTTGTGGCCAAGAAGTTCACTGCCCGATAGACATGATTCGGACTCTGTGAAGAAATTCCATTCTTCGTAGACGCTTTCAAGCTAGACAGCTAAATAGCAAAATACGCAAACGCCCAAATAAAAAACCACGGTCGAACACCCGAACAGACACTTGCTTGAGGCGGATCATCTATCTAGGCACGTCAGAAAGCACCTCTACGAACTTAAGGATGAGGTCCAACGCTACGTAAAACAACCAATGGACGCGCCACTGTGCAGACTGGAGTGGCACACACAGGGAGACTGTTACCAGCTACACAGACACGCGACCTGTACATACCGCCATAAGAATAAAATCACCACATGTGGACTATAGTGGATTTCAACTGCCGAGAGAAACGCGCGCAACTTTGTCCCCATTACGGTCTGTATATTGCAGCCGCCTCAGCTCGTACCTATCCAGACCTGGCCACTGTATACCTAATGCGTGCCCAGCATATGGAGATTACCCCACGATACCAATCACATATGTATTTACATGTCTACTCAACCCAATTCAACGTAACAACGCTCTGGTCAAACCCTTTCGAAACAGCAAGACAATAATTAAAGTACTATACGATCTAGGCAGGGTTAAGTAAGCCGTTACCACAACAAAAACAACATGAAGGCGAAAACTCAGGCGATTACGACGAAACCGATATCCCACCTCCTGATTATGACGTGGTACGAATGGCAATTTCACGGCTGATGAACGACTGTCACTTAATTGTGCTCTGCCCAATCCGCAAGAAAGGCGACCCCGCAATTTCGACAAGTACCGCGGGATCAGCCTTCTAAGCATTGGCTATAAAGTCTAATCGAGCGTATTGTGTGAAAAGCTAAAGCTTATCCTCAGCGAATTTATTGGACCTTAACAATGTGGCATTAGACCAGGAAACTTTACCATAGTCCAGCTATTCACCTTATGCCAGGTATCGGAAAATGCCTGCGAGAAGAGAATATATTTGTCGGTTTCAATGCCGCTTCAACAGCACTAAAATGAGGTGCCTTTCTGTCGCGGTGTCTGAATGTGGTATCCCAGCGAAACTAATACGGTTTCCCATAGCCAGTTAGAAGTACCATCAGCTCCATCATAATTGGGAAAGGTCTCGCCACTTGATAGCAGTTGAAGTTTCAGACAAGTCGAATGCCATTCGTGTGATTTCTGAAGCGGAGGACAAAATGAACGAACTCCTGTCATCACACAAAAAGCAGAGCTTGCGCGACTCGGCACACACGTTGACTCGTCGGCACACCGTTAAGAGTTATAATTTCGAAAAAGAAGAGGACTTCGTTAATTTAGGATTCAGCTTTAACAGCTTTAATGCCAGCCTGGCGCCGGAGCATCACTCTTACCACCAAGTGCTACTTTGGACTGAGTAGGCAATTGAGAAGTAAATTCCTCTCTCGACGTACAAAAACCACACTCTATTTGTACTCTGTGCTGGCATATGGGACAGAAGCATGGGCGGTGGCAACATCCGATGAGGCGGCTCTTGAAACGTTGGCGCTTGCGAATACCGCAACAATTAAAAATACAGTGGATCCGCTGACTCAATCATATCATGGAAACGGTCCAGCCCTAAAAGTATTCAGCGCGGATCCCGTTGGTGATATCAAAGGAAGAGAAAGGCCTCCTATGCGATGGTTAAATGAGGTGTGGAAGGACTGGGCATTCCCAAAAGGCGTCAGTTGGTCAAGCAAAGACCCGATTGGCGTACTTTATATTCGATTAAGCACGCTACCTGTGATAAAATGAAATCTTATTGCAGGGCTTCGTTGAGACCACTGAGCGAGATGTTGCACGCAATGCCGTTACGATGGGCGGACAACCAAAGAAACGTGTCTTAATCTATTGCACTATCTATTTTGGATATGTATAATTAATATGTCTATATTTATATAGATTCCGTAAGGTTTGTGGTCTTATAGAGACCATTTCATTGAAAAGCAGCAGTGCTCATGATTTACTTTTAGCACAGTGTTATACAATTTTAGAAAATATTCTAGGCAGGGATAGAAAATGAAATGTTAAAGTTTTACCTGATTTGCGGAAAAATGTGCATTTTAAAGCAGATATATGTTCGACACCAAATCTAATTTTTGTATAGCACTCTACTATATTTTTTCCTTAGTATTTACGTTACATATGTCGAAAAGAGTCACCTGGATTCGAGAATTACCCATGACACTGACATATTAGAATGTCACATCCGCATACTACTTAGTTAGACAAAATAAATCAGTAAGCAATGAAAGCCAATGAACATCTTACAACTAACAAATACACATCGTCATTTAAAGTACAAAGCCACGTATTGCCAATCTGCAAAACCACGTAACTGACATTTGCTGCCAAAAACTGGATTTGCTCACACAAGCCCTTGGCTCAGTCCTTATCCATTCGTCCTGAAATATACTAGCCAGAAATGCGATTGCTTTATAAAACAGAGAACCATTTTGAAATATGAGTGTTTTTACTCCGTAGAAAATAATTTATGCAATCTCACATACGCGGTTTTGCGTTTTGTTGATACTCGGTTTTGTACTTTAAACGAAATTGAAAAATAACACGAAATAAAAAAAAACATTTTTTTAATAAACAAGCCACTTCTGGTAGAGTATATACATATGTAACTAATAACACCTACATATATAAATATATTCAGTTGGGTGGTACTTAAAATATCAAAATCGAAATTTTTTAAGGCGCACGCACCTCTTTATTTTGTTTCACGTACAAAATAAAGGCATTCGCGAAAATTTAAAAATTTTAAATAAACTTTAAGGTTGTAACAAAATTTTAACTTTTTTTTACATTGCAAAATATTACAAAAGTTTTACTTAGGCCAGCTTTGACTTAGCGTCCATACTTACTCATATAATTTCATAAACTCGCAGTGTTATTGCTGGTTAAAGTCAAATTCTTCTCGAATTTTTGCGATTTAAAAAAAAAAACTTTCAAACCCTAGTAACGAGCTTTTTTGTTTAAAATTTTTAAATTTTCGAGAATGTCTTTAATTTATACGTAGAACAAAATAAAAGGTTGCGCCATGATGTTTCTACTTGAAGGACGACCCTAATATAGATGGATATAAATTTATACATTTGCTCGTATAATTACATACATATAAGTATATACCTACTTTCGGCGCATCTGTAGTGCAAATTATTGTGCTAAATGCAGTTGAAGCTTAGAGCAGAAATTTTATTACAGATACAACTATGTAGACGTATTGATTTTTTATAGACCACTGCCTTAAAGTGTAGTTAATTTATAATTCACGTGTAATTTATGTGTGATTTTTTTTTTTTAAGTTGATAGGTAAAACACACTAGTACAATTAAAACATTTACTTAAGGCTAAACGACAAATACACATTGATTAGCTTGAAAAAGCATTAATTCATAAGCACAAAGTTATACTAGACAGTAAAAATCGTTTATGTTATACCTCCGTAAATTCATATTTTCATGACATGTATGCATAAGTAAATATTAATTGGCATTTCCGGTACGAAATAATTAAATACAGAATGTTGTAATTATTTGCACGTATAAAACACATGAAGTATGGATACGGTGACCATTCGTACCGATTTTGGCGGGATAGTAGCGATTTTGAAAAATTGTCCCGCTGAATATTTTTTAAAAGTCGGGACGTATAAGAGTCCCGATTTTCATATTTCTACCGGTTGAATCCCGATTTTCAGTGTTTTCTTTATTAATTTAACAAGAGTCTTCGTGTATTGTGGCTCAAAAACCAGTTTTCATACAAACGTGGCAACACTTTCGTTATAACAAAGAACATACTTAGAATATAGGGGAGCCTTATTTTCTATGATCCTTGGTTAAATTTTATTTTATTAAACTGGTACTCTCGCTATATTGTAGTAAATAATCATTATTGGCATAAAAAAATTGTTTAATTTTTTATAATTGTTTGTTAAGTTTTGTTTTTTTTAATGAACCTGAATTTAGTGACATTGTAAAAAATAATACTAATTCCCTCAAAACATTCATGGATATGAAAAATATAAGCTGTAGTACAGTGGCAAAAATACAAATATGAAAGAGACATTTTAGCATTTTTTGGCTATTCCCCTTTCGATATCTTAATGTTTATTATTTTTTTTATTAAAGTGTAGCTCGTTATATTACGAAAATCCTACATATATATGTACATCAAACTTTGTACAAAGTTAGCCAAATTGGACAAAGTTTCATCAGAATTTTGAGCTTTTTAATTAAAATTCTTAGAACCATACTGAGTATGCAGTTTTGTAGCCCATTCAATTTTAGTGGTGTAAAATTTAAGTAGTGGCACATTGTCTGCATACAAAAAAAATTGTCAAACATACTTTGTATGGAAGAAAATGCGCAAAGAACAAATTGCCTCAACGGTAAGTCCAAGCTACTTCGAACTTGCACTTTTTATAATAAA